CCCCTAGTAGCGTCCTTGCGCCTAGTAGTAAGGCCAGGAGCCCCTAGAAAAAGATCATATTCACTATGCCGCCCTCCCAGTTCTGGCGGTTTCTGGTTCTTTCGATGAGGAGCCCCGACGCGCATGTTGCGTGGTTCCCTGCGGCAGCTCCTTGTTGGTCCTCGGAGGGGTGAAGAACCAGGCCAGGGCCATGCAGTGTGACTCCTGAGGTGGCGCAATAGAACGGCAAGGCTTTTGGCAACTCTAAACCCGCACTTTACTAGAAACCTGTCAAGGATTGATGCTCGAGGGTGCATATTGTGGGGGCCAGTTTTAAAAGGATGTTTGCGCGCTGATAGGAAAGTGCAGGTTTTCAGGTTTTCAGTGGTAAACAGTCAGCCGTCCAAACTTGATCCTATGTGAGCCTGTCCTAGTGCGACTGACGGTTGCGCACTCCCCCTTTTTTGGGCGCAGGTGCCGTGGGCTTGTTGTTGCGGGTTTTGTTCAGCCATTTTGCTCAATCCAGTTCTGCCACAAGCTGGTGATATCCTGCCCTGACAAAAATGATGTAATGGCAGCGCCTTGCAAAGAGCAAGTGACGCTTCAAGGAGAGCTTGGAGAGCGGTGACCCAAGAAAGTTTGCTGTCGTGTCATCCACTGTGACCCTTCTCGTGGTTTTAGCAGGCCACACAACAGAAGCTTGTATCAAAGACTCCAACAAGTCTGTGTTGGGGGCTTTACATATAAACGGGCAATTTAGAGGCGTTGCACTTTTTCAATTTTCGACACAACGCTTGGCTAGTTTTCTTGAGGCGCACCTTTTCCTGATTTTGTCAGGAGTTTTACAAGAAATCGAAAGCCTTCTCGTGAAGCTCCTAGCAGCGCGAGACCATGTAGCTGCTGGTGAGGAAGCTGAGGCTATACGCTTGAGCTCAACGCAGTTGAATGAGCCACTGGATGAGAATAGCAACGTGCAGTACTTCCTCAACTTTCTTGGTTCTTTTACACACCGAAAGAGAGGAGTCGCTTTTCGCCCGAACCCAAAGCCCATGTCATGTGCGACGGAGAATACCGCCTTGAGCGACATCCTAAACCTTGGGGGCATTCAAAGGCTTGAGCCAAAATGGCTACGAGATGCTACGAGTTAAGTTTCCCAAAAATAATCTAGGAACCAAATCATTAGTCCGAGCGCTTCTTCAAGGAAGCTCCCCAGGGCGGCGGGGGGAGCTAGGGTGAGCTATCCTGCGTCCTGTCGGTAGTAGCTACTTGCAGGTAGCAGGGAGGCGGGGGGGGGGGGAGCGGACCCCCAAAAACAGGAAGCCTCAGGGGATCGAAATTGAAACCAGACCCTGATCGCAACTTTCCGCGTGGAAGCTTGGAATCCGACTTTGGAAGGCTCTGATTGAATCGAAGCTTTTCCATTTGAACTGTGGAACTCGTTTGCGTGCTACTTTGGAGCGTTTTGATTGCATCTTTCCTCATTTTGCAACCAATCTCCAGTTGGGGTTATAAGAGACTGATCAACCGCAGAAGGCGTCCCCCGATTTTTCTTATCCAAAATGCTATTAGAAGGGGTCTATTCATGCTGGGGTAGTTTTGATCTCTCGCTCTCTCTGTGTATATATATATATGTGTATACTGTATACATATACACATACAAATGCGCGGAGTGCTTTCTTACAAGCAAGCTGGGAGATCTATTACTGTCTGCCATATATGCTGCCAATTTGTTTTGTTGTGGTTGGAGATGCTTTTCTCGATGTCTGGAAGGGGGTGCCTTGACAACATGGGGCGATATACCATCCCAGTCATTTTTCATATTGGTGCACGGATATGATTTATCATTGCGGGTGGACTAAGGTTTTCATTCTAGTTGTGAAACTGTTCAATCGGTGTTCTTAATGGATTCTGCTTTGTGGTGCTGTGACACGCAAGTCACAATAGTTCAAGAAGTCCGTCCTTTGTTTCTTTCTGTTTCTCTCTCCTTCATGACACTTTGCACGGATTTGAAGAGCTGCTTGAGCGCTTTAAGGTCATCGCTTTTCTCGCGAACTTTTTGTGACAGCCGCTCTCCCATGGAGGAAGAGTTCTTTGGAGATGACATGGTCTCAAAGAAAGTTGAATGTTCAGAGTGTCCAATGGAAAAGCAACACTTGTTACAAAGGACACCTCAGTGTATCTTGGGTTGTTCCTTCGTTGGATCACTTTAGCTATCGCTGAATGCTTTAAGCTTTGTGCTTCCAGGAGAGCCTGCTGCAGAGTGAGAGTGCGGACAACCACCGGAGTGCCAGTGAAATGGCAAGCAAGTTCCTCGCCAAGGAGCACATGAGCATTTTGTTTTAGCAGGGGAGAGCTGCCGCTCTTTGACAGATATTCAGTGTAATCCTGCAATGGCTTGGTTTTGAAGACAAGGAGAACTCCTTTGGTTTCTGCCAAATAAGATGCAACAACCAACTCATTGAACTAAGCAGGCTCAACTGAGCACTCTCCCTGGCAATATATGCGCATTGCACCCAATTTGTCGTTCTGATTGCAATTTGGACACGGCATGTGCTTGGAATAGAACATAGCACCACGTGTTTAGGCCGTTGTGTGTTTGCTTTCCTGGCAGGAGCTGGAGGGGCGGCGTCAAGTATCGCCTTCCGCTTCCACACCAGAGCCACCCCAGAACCGCCCAGCAGCTGTGACTTGGCCAAAGCAGCCTTCCTACCTGGTCAACCCATCAAAATACAATCTTAATGCTGTTGCTTCTAGAGGTTGGTATGTCGTATTCTCAGGGTGGGAATTATGGGTTTACGTTCAGCCAATATGCTTGAAGGATCGAGTCTCCTTCATTCGTCGAGAAGGGAGCTTGGTTAGGCTTGTAGATTAGAAGTCTTCGCGCATTTCCAGATGCTGATGCGGGATGATGACATTGTTCCCAGAAGCAGCACTCGCAGCTTTGCCTCGTGGCGGAACGTTTAGTTGAAAGAATACCTGCAGCGAACTTAGCAATGCCGTACCTTCAAAAGGGTGTGCCATTCAGACGCACGATCTTTTATTTTTGCTCGGTATGTGTACAACTTATTAGGATTGTGGGTTGCGATTCAGAGGCGCTAGTTTTGTTCTCCTAGACCATGGAAGTCTGAGGAGCGCTCAGCCCTTTGGTCTAACCCAAGCACAGAGACACTGAATGTAATCTTTGAAATGCAAAGCCAGTCCCATACCGCCCTTGTTGTGTAAGACTGGGCTTCCTGATAAAGGGTTCGAGGGCAGGCAAGACGCTGATGTTTTGCAGGAGAGGGATGTCATTCCTACCTTAATACAAACCAGCTTCTATATAGGCGCGGCAATTCAGGACGCCTTTGCTCGTCAAGTTTCTTTCGCTGCTGCTGCGGAACCAATGGTTTCAGAGAACCAGTGGGGCGATTTGGAGAGTAAAGAGGACCGTGGAAACTCTGCCGTAGCTAATGAAAACAAATATGTTTTGTCTAGTGATCACCAAGAATCGCTTTCCACATTTGTATTGTTACCAGAACGCAGGATAGGTCATTCTCCAAACAGTGGTGAGAACGAATTCTGTGCGCCAGGATGCTTCGGAGGATGTACGTTATGAGATTCACACTGGCTGGCGTCAACTAGGCCCTTCGGTTTTGGGGGATACCTATCAAAAACTAATTTGATTCGTATCAAACAATTGATTCCTATCAAAAGACACTAATTCGTTTTCGTATCAGCCTACTCCTTCGGGTCCTGTCTGCCGTTTTTTTTTGCTCGCTTGGTCCTCTGGTTTGTTTGTCCTGGTCTCTGGTCTTCCTCTCCTCTCATCCCTTGGTCCTCTGGTCCCTTGATCCTTGGTCCTCTAGTCTTGGTCTTTGGGTCCTGGGTCACGCGATAAGGGTGATTTGGACATCTCCCGGTCATACATCCCGTGAGGCACTGTGGCAGACCTTTTATCACCAGACGTAGCAGACCTTTTGTGAGCCACCTGACGGTAAAATTTAGACGAGGACCACGCCAAGGTGAGCCTGAGGGCAAAATTTAGAGGAGGGACTTTTTGTGAGCCATACGGCGGTAAAATTGGGAGGAGGAAGGAGCCATTCCAGGTAGCAGTGCCACTCCAACGTAGCAGGCCTTTTGTGAGCCATCCACAGATCTAGAGGTTTTGAGATTGAGAGAGGTTTTGAGATACATCTAAAGAGTTGAGATGCAGAGAGGTCAAAGATGCAAAGGCCTGGAGATCCAGACAGATCTAGAGGTGTAAAGGTCCAAGAAGCGCAGAGGTCTTGAGATATCTAAAGGCCGAGATCCAGAAAAGCCCAGAAAGGGTTTGACATGCAGAGAGAGGCCCAGAGGTCCTCAGATCCAGACATATCAAGAGCTCTTTTCAGAGGTTTTGAGATCCACAGAAATGTTGCGCTTGCCATGCAATCGGCGCTTCGATGTTCACAATCGCCGCGCCTGCCACGAAATCTGCACTTAGAGGTTCACCCGGCGCCGCGCCTGCCACGAAATCATACGAAATTTGCGCTTTGAGGTTCACAAAGTGCTGCCCCTGCCAGGAAGTTTGCACTTCAAGGTTCACAAATCGCTGCGCCTGCCACGAAATCTGCACTT